AGAGTTACTTTTCCTCAAAAACCCACTGAAAGTAGGATTTTTTCAAAAGATATCCTTGAATATCTTCACTCAGATGTGTGGGGACCGGCTCGTGAACCCACATATGGTGGTAGAAGATATTTTTTTACTATAATTGATGATTTTTCAAGGAAAGTTTGGGTATTTTTAATGAAACAAAAGTCTGATGTGTTTGAAATTTTTAAAAATTGGAAATTTTCTATTGAAAATCAAACGGGTAAAAAGATTAAGTGTTTAAGAACTGAAAATGGCTTAGAATATTGCAACACTTGGTTTGATAGCTTTTGCATTGAAAATAAAATAAAGCGACATAAAACAACCCCTTATATACCTCAACAAAATGGGGTGGCTACGCAGATGAACCGAACTCTATTAGAAAAAGTTCGAAGCTTGCTTGCTTCCTCGGGTTTATCCAAGAGCTTTTGGGGTGAGGCTGTAGTTACAGCAACATATTTGATTAATAGATCACCTTCAGTGCCTTTAAAGGGTGAATGTCCTGAATTTAGGTGGAGTGGAAAGAAAATTGATTTTTCAAACCTAAAAGTATTTGGTTGTTCTGCTTTCATACGTGTTTTCAATTATAAACTTGAACCTAGGGCTGAGAAGTGTGTGTTCCTAGGGTATCCCGAGGGTGTTAAGGGATATAGGCTATGGTTAAACACGAAACCAGGTTTCAAAACTTTTGTTAGTCGAGATGTAGCATTTAATGAGAATGAAATGCCGTGTTTGAAGAAAAATCAGACTTTAAATGATGAAAATACTGCTGTTAATGGTTCTAATGATACTCAAAATGAGGTGGAGCAAAATCATTATAATTTAGCCAATTTAGAGGGTGAATTACTTGATAATAGTGCCTCAAATGGAACTGATACCAGAACAGCCAGTTCTGATCCAGATTTTTATTCTGGAAATTCAGAGGCTGGTCTGGGGATCAGTTCTGATGATGTTAGTGAGGGAATTGAATCTGGAATTGCTGAGAATGTTGATCAAAATCTGGAAAATTATCAACTTGCTAGGGATAGAGTTAGGCGAAATGTAAGGCAGCCTCCTAGGTTAGATGAATTTGATGTTGATGTTATCTTTTTAGCTTATAATGTGTTTGAATCATTAGATGGTAATGAACCAAGGTCATATAGTGAAGCTATGAAATCAAAACAAAGAAATGAGTGGATTAATTCAATGAATGAAGAAATGAAGTCATTAAAGGATAATAAAACCTGGATTTTGGTGCCAAAGTTAGCTAACAGTTCCGTTGTTGATTGTAAATGGCTTTACAAAGTAAAACAAGATGAAAATTGAGTTAGATTTAAAGCAAGATTAGTTGCTAAGGAGTTTACACAAAAAGAAGGAATAGATTACAATGAAATTTTTGCTCATGTTGTTAAATATTCTACTATAAGGCTCATGCTTGCTTTAGTTGCCTATTTTAATTGGGAATTAAAATAATTAGATGTAAAAACTGCATTTTTACATGGTGATTTGTATGAAAGGATTTACATGAAACAGCCGAAAGACTTCTTTGATAAAATTAATCCTAATCATGTGTGCCTTTTAAAGAAATCCTTTTATGGACTAAAACAGTCCCCTAGGCAATGGAACATAAAATTTGATGAATGCATGAAATGTTTGAAATTTAATAGAAGCAATTTTGATCATTGTTTGTATTTTAGAATAGCATGTGAGCATACCATATTCTTGCTATTATATGTTGATGATATGTTGATTATGAGTCCTAGTTTGGAAACCATTAATCATGTAAAGGATTGTTTAAGCAAGAAATTTGATATGAAATGCCTATGAGATGCAAAAGTAATTCTTGGTATGAATATACTTAGGAATAGACAATGTAACATGCTGTTTTTAAATCGGTCTTCATACATTAAGAAAATTTTGAATAAATTCTGCATGACTGATGTTAAACCCTCTATTGTCCCCCTCGTTTCTAATTTCATTTTGTCTAAAGATCAATGCCCAAAATCTGAAAATGATGTGAAATACATGTTGAATGTTCCTTATACTAGTGTTGTAGGTTCTATTATGTACTTGATGGTGTGCACTAGGCCTGATTTAGCGTATTCTATTAGTTGTTTGAGTAGATACATGGCTAATCCGGGTGTGGAACATTTGAATGCTTTAAAGTGTGTGTTTAAATACTTGGTTGATACTATTGATATTGGTTTAGTATTTGGTAAACACATTAGTGAGTTAAAACTAAATGGCTATGTGGATTCTAATTATGTGAATGATAGAGATTCTAGAAAGTCAACTACGTCGTATATCTTTACTTTGTGTGGTTCTTGTGTTAGTTGGAAATCCCAACTACAACATATAGTTGCTCTTTCTACAACAGAATCGGAATATGTGGCCATAACTGAAGCATTAAATGAAGGTATGTGGTTAAAAGGTTTATTAAAGGAAATAGGCTAGTTGAAAAATGAAGTAACAGTTTTTTCAGATAGTCAATCCGGAATTCAGCTTTGTAAAACCCAGTCTTTCATGATCGAACGAAACATATAAATGTTAGGTTTCATTTCATTTGTGATATAGTGTCTAAGGGTTTTTTAAAACTAGAAAAAATACCTTCTGAATAGAATCTTGCGGACATGGGAACAAAAGTTTTATCAATAAACAAAATTCAATTTGTGTAAGAAAACAGTTTATATAGATACTTTTGATTAGGAGAATCTTTAAAATTTGAAGGCGTGTATCTTTTGTTTTTAAAATTCTGTTTTCAGCATGATATATTTAATCATGTAGCTGTTTGTTTAGCTGTTTTGTTTAGTTTTGCTGCTGATTTGTTTTTTATGGCTGTTTTTATTAAAACTTGAGAACATTAACCATGTTAATAAGTTCGCAGGTTAAAAGACTGAAATCGTTGGAGCTCGAACATGGATGACACCCTTAAAGCACTTTCTCCAATGCCCAAAAAGGTGGAGATTTGTGATGTTTTGTGCATATTACACTTCGACCCGACCCAAACCTATCGAAACCCGGATCCTGTGCCCTCGGTTAGACCCGATTGAGTGATGAATTGGATGATGGGTTCGATTGGCCTGAACCGCCCTGGACTGCCCTCAAATCGGTCCAAGGGGTCTTATATATATTTTGCTTCCCGGTTCACTGGACAGATGATCTCTCACTCATTCACATCGCGATATTCACTCTCTGGAGCCCTAGCTTCTCCGACGAACGCGATTGACCTGTCCTTGGCATTCCGGCGAGTTTGGCCATCGGAACTTGAAGTTCATCCACCGTGGTTGTATTACAGCTTGTTCTAAAGTTGTTCTTCGGTTTGGAATTCTCGATTCTGTCTTTATGAGCTGTTCGTGGTGTAATTGATTGTCCGCGATGATTTAGGCTTAGAATCTTGAGATTTGTTTCGATTAGGTTGTTAATCGCGCTGATTGTGCGTTTCTGTGGATTTCGGTAGTGTATGGGTCGTGGTTGTGTGTATATGTTGCTATTCGGTTGGAATATTGGGTAAAGTGAGTCCGAACTCCTTCGATTTTGAAAGTATATAAAAGATTCGATGTTTCTTGTTTCGTATGTGTTCGATTAATTGTAAACTACAAGTATTAGATCCTAATTTCGATTACAATTTTCCAATTAAAATAATTTTTATATAAAAATTAATTATTTTTAATTTATAAAAGTAAAACTATAATATAATAAAATATTATAATATAATTAATAAATAATCAAAATATATTTATTTGTGTAAAATGCATAATAAATTTTTAAGGGCATATAAGGAATAAAAAAAATTTTACACAAAAAACTATTTCAAAACGCTGGGTAAGTTAGTTTTTCAGAAATTAGTTTTTTGGTCCAAAAAACTATTCCAAAAAGCTAATTTACCAAATACCTAAATTAGCTTTTTGACTAGTCAAACAGCTAAAAATTGTTCAATAAGCTAAAAACTCTTCAAAAAGCTATTTGCCAAACACCCCCTTAGTCAAGCTAAAACTAAAATCCAATTCAATTGGTCCATTTTATAATAAATGAGTTTACAATACAAATGGTAAGAGCAACTTAACCTATAATTTTATTTTTTTTTTTTTTTATTTTTTTTATGATGTGGGAGTTCGCAATCGCTACCCGAAAGTGTATATGGGTAACCCCCGACCGAACCTAATACCCTGCAAACGAAATTTTTTTTAATGCTTTTGATTTCACAAAGATTAACCAAATTACTACTATTTTTTTTACTTATCATACTATTTTTTTTATTAATATTTTTGATAAATTTTCTATAATACTTTTATTTGTACTTTTTACATATCTCATATTTACATTAAAATACTACTTCATTCATCACATAATTAAGTATTCATTTATTTTTTAAGTGTTGATATTTGAATATTAATTATTATATCAAAACATATTAGAAATAAAAAAAAAAGGCAAAAAAAGCTTATATTAGTGTCTCATAATACCAATATAATGATATTTGTACAAAAAAATTATACAAATATAAAAAATATTTTTAATATTAAGTACCTCCGTCCCGCAAAAAGAGTACCATTTATTTTTTAGACGTAAATTTTTGAATAATAGTATTATATTGGTTTATAGTGGAATAGACAAAATTGCCCCTATTAGATTGTGTGATAAAAAATTAATGGTATTTGTATAATATATTGCAAGTTGTAAGGGTATTAATTATGTTAGATATGTACTACAATTACTAAATTAGAAAATTATATCTTTTTTTTTTAGACGAACAAAAATAAAAAAATGAGATCCTTCTTATGAGACGAATGAGGTATAATAATACGAATAGTAAATAGATAGTTTGTAATGAAACAAAAGAGTATTATTTTTAAATTTTCTTCCATTTTCAAAAATATATACGGGTCAAAATTAAATTAAAATACTATAAAGTAAACAAAAACATTTTTGTCATGAAATAGATACACAACATTATTACAACCTATACACACACACTATACCCACCCACCCCCTCCCCCTCCCCCTCTTCTCTACCAAAACATTAATCCTACACAAGACTCTCCATGTAACAAAGTTCTTCCAAAAGCTCATCCACCACCACCCCACACACGGCGGCCTCCACCTCCGCCGCTGCCTCCTCGATTTCTCCGGCGAACTTCGTCCACCCGTCGGCCCCCTTCTTCCCCCTCATATCCAATCCCACCATCATATCGATCGTATCCAATTCGACCTCCTTCCACAAATCCAACCTCTCTCGGATTCTTCCGACCACCGCCGCCGCCGCCTCGCCGGAGCGGCACATCCTCTCGCCCTTCTCCTCCACTATCAAATCGCCGACAAGCTTCGTCATGCCGGGAGACGGAGCTGTCTGAATATCGGATTGGTCCAAAACTCGGGATACTAATAGGTCTACGCTTAGCGGCTTTTTGTCCACCGATTCGGAATCTTCCGGAAAATCATCCTCGCCGGATTCGTCAAGCAGCTTCTCGTCGTCGAGCTCCATCGGGCCGATGTCGGCGAGCTTCTCGAATCTTCGGAGCCTGAGTAAGAACTGCTCTTTGGCTCCTGGACAACATATGACAAATGTAAGGGAAGAAATTAGGAAGAAGTTAAAACAGGGGATTGATTAATTAATGCTAATGGTAAGGCCCCCCAATTAAATAATTATATGTTAGAAACTTTTGGTATCACTGATCAATAATACTATATCGATCCGTCTCTAAAAGTTTTATTTATTTATTTATTTTTTTACTTATTAATTATTATATTAAAATATAAACAAAAATTAAGAAAAAATTACACAGATACTTTAATTAGTGTCTTATAATACTAATAAAAGAATATTTGTACAAAAAATTATACAAATATAAAAATATTTTTAATGTTAAATACAATGACACAAAAAATAAATATGACCCTTGAAAACAAACAAAAAAAATAACTTTTTAAAATATATCAAATTAAATATTTTTTTTCACTCATAAAATATCACATCAAACACTCTGACTTTATAATATTTTCAAAATTCCAAAATTTCAACTTATTATTACTATTATTATTATTATTATTAATATTGGCAATAATGATAGGAGGTGAGGACAAACAGAGAAGAAAAGGGAAATATTACCCACCACTTAATTAAACAATGCTGAAATCTTATCATGTTACGACAAATTGAGGAAACATTACAAAAAGGGCAATCATAATAATAATAATAATAATAATAATAATAATAAACAGCTACTTATTATAAAAATTACTTAAATTTACTTCAAATATTCCCTCTCTACCCCGGTAAGTGTCTCATTTACGTTAGACACAAGAATTTATGAGAGATATAATTAATAAACGATTAAAAATATATTAGTAAAAATAATTATTATATAATAAAAATAATTTTATATTTAAATTAAAATTAGAATAACTATTTAGTCCCGTTAAAATTAATCTTTTTAATAAAATTAAAATGTATATTTTTTTATAAAAAAAATAACAAGATAAACGTGACAGATATTGAAAGATAAACACGAAAACATATATCAATTCAACATTTTATTATTATCAAACCTTAAATCCAATTTAAACTACAAACTATAAAAGACCACACCATTTGGTTCGATAAAATAAATAATACTGTACTAAAATATTTTTTTTAATATTCCAAACACTATAAAAAAATATTAATTTTGTAACAAGATTTTTTTGTTGTTAAATTCACTTTTTCCGTTACTAATGATATTAGAGACGGAATTTGAGATGAAATTACGTTAGCTACGTGAACTTTAAGAATAGAATTCCGTTACAAATATAATATTTTTTTTGTAGTGAAATTCCGCTGTTACTCTCTAGAGTATTATTTTTATAACTTGTATTTATCTTACTCAAAATATTTATTAAATAATTGCATATTGATACTAAAATATTTTAAATTTTTATATAAATTAGAAATATATTATTACATATGAGATTAATTTATACATAAATATCAAAATCTTACGTACATATTTACAAATACTTTGTTGACATAACTAATTTATTCAATATAAATAAATAAAAAATGATGAATTATTCCTTACGCTAAAAAGTTGAGTTTAGTTGTCCTAATGCGTTATCCGTCTGTCTCTCAATCACTAGTTTGTACTGTACTACTACAAACAACAATGGCAGCCGTACATGGAAAAATCAATCATCAGTAACCTCAACCAAGGTCCCCTCCAAGAACAGATTTTGAAAATGACACAGCAACAAACACATCCAGGACAACGACGACGACGAACCAACACACAACAAAATCATCTAATTAATTACTGTAATAAGAACACAGTCTGTAATATAAACGACTGCAAACTTACTCTGCACATTAGCGTAGCTGCTGCATTCGATTTCGCAGTCATCGTCGTCTTCATCGAAAACAGGCTCTAATACTGATACAGGACTCGACTGATCCTCCTTGTCTTCGTCTTCTTCGTTGCTTTCCTTCTGCAAACGTTGCAATGTATTGTAATGCTGTAAAACGACGCAGTTTTTGTCTTCTTGCTAAGGTTTGAGTAAAACAAAATCAAAGATGTGTCTTTTTGTGGGTAAAAATATAAAAGATTTTGGTGGCAGAAAAATCTGAGATACAGACAGACAAGTTTGATTCTTGTAAGAAAAAAAAATGGCGTGGGACTGTTCCCAGGGGCTTTTTCGTCATTTGGTTACCGACAAGTAAGTCAAACAACGTTAACACAGAATTCCATTAGAGCACTGAGTCACGAGTTGGAAAACAAATTTAATTACCTTGCTGACGTGGCGACGAGGGGACCCCGCCGGAGAACTGAACTCCGGCGTGCGCCGGCCGGTGGGAGACGGGCTTGGGTGGAACGAGAATTGGAAAGGGCTTACGCAAAATCGTTTTTCCGGCGGCCGGAAATTTTGCTCCGACCAGTCGGAACTGTAGCTGCTTGTGGACGCCTCGAAAGCCATGGATTTGATTTCATTCTCCGACGTCCATTCGGGGCTGCTGATCCGACGGTCACGGTGAGAGCACGATTTTGCAGCATTTTTGGTAAAATCGTTATCGGAGATAGCGCGCTTTTTGTTCTTGCTCCGGTCTCTAAGCCTTCTCAGGAACGATCCGAACGGCCCGAACCCGGGGGTTCGACCCGGGGATCCGGGTCTGGGTTTCTGGACCCTCAACGCCGCTTCTAGAAGGAGCGCGGCGGTGCGCGACGGAATGTGGAGGAACGCGGCGGCGCGTGTCGGGCTTTTCGCCGGCGAAGCCGGCCAATCGGCGAACGGCGATTTCCGAAGGTCCGGCGAGTTCTGGAACGCGAAGAAACAGGCGTGCCGGCAGAGAATACCGCCGCGGTTTCTGGATCCGTCGGCGATGACGACGGCCGGCTTCCGATTCCGGAGCTGCACCGCCGTCCTCTGCGACGGCGACGGTTTCTTGATCTGAGACCGCCTGTCGGCAATGTAGGTCTTCAGCTGAAACGGCTCCTGATCTTCCTGCAGCATCTCGAGCAGCGACGGATTCCGACGAGCCATCGGAGCCGGCGCCGGAATTCTTACAAACCCGGAAACAATCAGAAATCAAAATTTTGAAATAAAATAAATTATGGAGCTATCTTGATAAAGATGAGACGAGAGAGAGAGAGAGAGAGAGAGAGAGGGCGTGGGGTTTGAAAAAGGGAGATTTGAAAAGTGGGGGAGAAGGAAGATATCGACGTTTTCAAAATCCTACGAGGTTTAGAAAATCGAGAAAACCTCAATAAATAACCAACGTAATTACTAGTAGTAAATTTGATTCAACTATAATCCTTAATTGTGCAAAAAAGATTGGATTTTTATCCAAATTAGAATTCAAGAATGGAAATTAATTCAATTTAAACAAAATTGGATGTAGGATAGGCTTTAGGTGTAGGCAAATGATGATGTTGGATTCTCTCTCAGAGAATCTGTCACTTCAGTTGTAATACCACTACAAAGCTTAATCTACAGTGAAAATTCGCTGAATTAATGAAGTGACGTCGTTTCGGGTTTTTTTTTTTTTTTTTTTAAAAAAAAAATTTGTCTTTTATGGCACTTCCGTGTTTCCTGTAAAAAGAGATCACTTTTCAGAAATTAAAAAAATAAAATATTAGTACTACTATGTGTTTATTAATTGAAATTGGTTGTAGTTGTATATTGAGAAAGTCAAATTTAAATGGATTGGAATAATAAATGAAATAATAGTAATAATGGGGTAAATATGCAATAAATTACAAAGATTAAGGTGCAGTGTGTAATAATGTAAATGTAGCTGTAGCAATAGCATTGGGAGAGGAATGCGTGCATAAAAAGGGGGACCTTTCTCTCCAGTTAGCCAGCGACGGTTCGTACAATTTCTTATGACTATTCCACTTCACCACCAGCTTTAATTCGAAACTTATTGCTCTCTTCTCTTCTCCTACAATTATTATTATTTATTTATTTTTATAAAAAAATAATAATAATAAAACAATGAGTTACTCAATTACTTACCAATTCAAATGAATTATTTAAAATTTTATAATAATTAAAAATTATAAGAATATTTTATTAGTCAGTAAAAATATGTAAAATAATTTTGATATTTAAAAGACTTTTGTATATATTTTTATACGTAAATTAATTGTATGTGCAAAAATATACTTATGATATGATTTGTGTACAAGTTGAAAGATATTTTTAGTATTAATGTACGATAAATAGATAATTTTAAGTGAGACGAAAATAATAAAAAAAAATATATTTTCAATTGAAACGAATAAAATATTATATTATTATTAAAATTTATTGATAATTGAATAGTAAAAATATACATATATAAAGAGTTTAAATTATAGTTTTGCTTATAAAGATAAATTTTAGAATTTTTAGAACTGTTAACGAATAATATTTTTTTAAAAAAAATTATTACGTAGATTATTAAATTTAATCAGAGGTTTACATAGTACAAAAGATAAGCGGCCAAAGATAGCAGCAGTAGGTTGACATGTTATAAAAAAGCGAAGATACTACATTAGCCTCCTAAGTAAGCTATTTATTTGTGTGTAGGTTTTAAATATTAATATATATTTAAATATTCAAATTCTAACTATTTTTAATTTTTCAAAAATTCCAAATTCTTACATAAACGAAACCAATATTTTTACGCATTATCTATCATATATAAAATATTATTTTTTTGTTTTGCATTAATGTATACATTTTGTCTTTTTTATTTGTTCCGCATTAACATATACTTTATTTATACTTTCTTCATCTCAATTTAAAATGGTCATTTAGATTTTGTAATAGATTAAAAAATAATAATATTTTATTGATCACTAAAAGTGTAAGATGATTTTGACATTGTTATCATTTGTATTTTATATATAAATTAATTATATGTGTTATAATATGTTTTAGCGTGTTTACTTGTGAGATTTGATTTTCGATTTTTCTATTCTAATTTATTTTTTAAAAAAAAAACATCAACATATATTTTTTTTATTTATTATATCAAATTAAAATAATTTTTACATTCAAAATATTATATCAATACATATTTATATCCCATAAAACAAATATTAATTCAAAATTTTACTATTTAAATTCAAAATCAAAATCTTACAATCGCATTGAAGAATTAATGGCTGTCAGTTTTGAGGTTGGAGGGAGAGGCGGAACTAGCCTCCAAGCTTCGAGGGAAGCAAAAAAAAAAAAAATCCTTGAACAAATATAATGTGTTTGAAATTGAAAATTTTACATAACTACATAATTTTATTATTTTTATTTAAAGTATTAAATATTGAAAAATATATTAATAAAATTATACTCTCTTCGTCCACTTTAAAAGTTTACATTTACTTTTTGCATGTTGATATTTGAATATTAATTATTATATCAAAATATAATACAAATTAAGTAAAAATGACAAAAATACTTTTATTAACGTCTTATAATACAAATATAATGACATTTGTATAAAAATTTATACAAATATAATAATTTTTTTAACGTTAAGTTTAATGATATAGAAGATAAATGTAAACTTTCAAAATGAACAGAGGGAATATAATATTTATAATTTTTTTACACAAAAATAAAAATAAAAACTAACAAATATGGGGCAAATTATTAAAAATACATAATTTTAGTATTTCTTTTAACTAAAAAAAAAAAAAAAAATTGGGGGCTTGGGGCGGGTGACCCCCAAAGCCCCGTACTAGTTCCGTCCCTGGTTGGTGGGGTATTATACCATCATTTTTTCTAAGGAATTGATGAATATGCAACTTTTTTCGAACCATAAATAAATAAAATAAAATTTTAGAAATAAAGGATTTCAGCCAATTTTGCAAATCACATGAAAATTTTTTATTATTTTGCCTAAAAAAAATGTGTCCGTCAGGTTACACCTATGTAACGGACAGGCAACTTCCAACATACCACGAGAGTGTCACTTTACCAATTTCACTTGATGATCAATTGTGTGAAAAAAATTTAGTTACAAGACAATTCATATATTGAATCTAATTATGCTCTTAATGGTCAATTATTAAACTAAAAAAATAATAGGGTCTGTTTGTTGCGTTTTGATTTAAAGAAATTTTTTAAAAAATAAATTATAAGATATTATACGGATAATATAAAAATAATAAGGATATGTAATATATTAATTTTTTAAAAAAATCATAGCTTTTTTAACAAAACAAACAAACTAATAGTTTTTTCCAAAAAAAAAAAAAAAAAAATTGTGTATATATTTAAATAAAGCAAAAAGGTGAATTACATCATTTACCCAATAATAATATTTCTAGAATGAAGTATTCCCTCCGTCCCAAATACCGTGTCTGCTACACTGTAGACAAGGTATTTTAGGAGATGTGTAATTAGTAGATAATTAAGAATGTATTAGTAAAAATAATTATCATGTAATATAAATAATTATAAATTAAGATTAAGATAACTAATTAGTTTAATTAAAACTTTAAAAAAAATTAAAATTTAAAATGAGATTAAAGTGTGTAATCATTTTCCAAAAAATGAAAGTGACATCGTATGTGAGACGGACAGAAACGGCAACGTGAATATAGTATCTGGAACGGAGAGAGTATTAAGCATAAATTAATTAGTACAGTTGCATAAATTTTTATTTCAAAATTTATTAATTAATTGCATGTGACCTTTTTCTACATTTATTTTGGTACAAAATTTCACGGAAATTTAGGTCATGTTGGATTGTTACTATCTTCTTTGTTTTTTTGTGTAAAATAAAACAAAAATTTGTCTTTATATGAACTAGAAAAATGTCTCTTTCTTTTTAGATTTATTTTGTTTATTTCCTTAAAAAAGATTGATTTATTTAAATAGTAATTTAAGTTTAATATTTTACTAAAAAAAATTAATATTATTTTATAAAAGATTACGACATTACAAATAAAAATATTAATACATTATAATATAAATATAGCATATATATTCATAACAAATAATAATAACCTACAAAATATATACTATGATTGGTCTCAATATAAAATATATGATAATATAACCACATTAAGGGTTTGTTTGTTTGGAAGTTTGGATTTTGAGTTGAGATTTGAATAGTAAAAATTTTGAATTTTAATAGTTGTATGATGTGATATAAATAGGTGTTGTTGTGATGTTTTAAATATAAAATTGATATTTAGTATAATATAAAAAATAAAAAATATATTTGATTTGATATTTTTAGGAAAAAAAATTGAATGAATAGTAAAATTTGAGAGAAAACCTCCAAACAAACACACCCAAATGTATTGTTAGCGCTATTCCCCTGAAAAATAAGAAATTGAATCATAAATAATACCCCAAATATGATAAAAATTAATTTACTTATATTCTTTTTTTCTTTACTAAAATTTAATGTTATATTTTAAATATTAATAAAGGTGAAATGTTATGGCTGTGTTCACGTTTATTTTTTTGTAAATATATATATTTTTATATTAGGTATGAAAAATCATACTCCCTCTAATATTTATTTATCAATTTATTTTTTATAGAGTTTTATAAATATTAGTATTATATTGTATGATATAAATATAATGACATTTGTGTAATATATTGTAAATTAGAAGGGTATTTGTAATGTTAGTAAATAATACAATTACTTAAAAAAAAAAAAAAGAAATGAATACTTTGTTATGAGAATGACCAAAATGAAAAAAGTAGATAGATTATTAAGAAAACGGTGGAGTATTAATAATATAGAAATTAATATTTTGCGTTGAATTTTTTACTTTTTATGAGTATATAAAGTTTATATTATACTCCCTCCGTCCACAAACTAATGTCTTACTTTCCTATTTGGGACGCCCAACAACTATTGTCCTATTTCCTTTTTTAAACACAAATTTTATATTTTTACCCTTCATTCATTTACTACTTTTAATTTCTACCATACAATTAAGGGCAAATTTGTCGATTCATAACAAAAAGACAATCACCTAAAAAACTGTGCAAATATACTTTAGGATAATAGAAATTGGATTAAGGAAGTATATATATTGTTTTAATAGATATATATTACATTATTTTATAGAAAATTGTGCAATAAAAAATAGTGGATAGAATAAAATATATATATATAATTTGTTGAATAATAAAAAAAATAGTGTGGTGTAAAAAATTATATGGCTAATATAAAAATAATAATACATAGTATTAAATTATTATTATATTTCAAATAAATAGAATATATATATCATGTGTATAATTATGTATATACTAATATTATTTAATAGTA